AGAGACCCCGGTTTGCGAACAGGGAGGACAACGGCATCGAGCCAGTCCTCAGGGACTGACGACGACTCCCAGATCCGATTATACAGACTCAGTAAATACTGAGACGTGCACGGAGGGAGATGGCGAAGCATCTCATAATGAATACCATCGGAGCCCGCCGCCGTAGAACCGCAGAGGGCCAGGGCAGAACGAAGTTCAGAGAGAGAGAAGGGATCATTATAGGGAAGCTGAAGATGAGTGCAGAAATCTAAAGGACGAGACTCAAGGACAGGTTTACGAAGAAGGAAAGATTGGGGAAGATGAAGACCAGAGCTAACAGAAGAAAAGTGGGAACCCAGTACGGAAGCGACCTGCAACGGGTCCGCCACAAGAGTATCATGGAGGTGAAGGACCGGTGAAACATCGGGAACGAACTTACCCGCTATCTTGCGGATACGCTTCCAGATCTGGGCCAGAGGAGTTTCGGACGTAATTGTTGAGACATAAGATGCCCAACATTCACGTTTAGCCGTACGGATGGCCCTACGGGCCACCGCACTCGCTTTCCGAAAGAAAAGAAAAGAATCGGTCGTCTGCCTACGGCGGTGCCTCTTCCAGGCTGCACGCTTACAGCGGACAGCCCGAGCACAGTCCGCATTCCACCAGGGAACGCACTTCCGTGGACCCCGAGAGGAAGAGCGAGGAATAGAGCGGAGGGCAGCGTTGAAGACAGTGTCATGAAAAAGGAGGAGAGCACGAGAGAGAGGCAGAAGGGAGAGGTCAGAGAGAGCAGCACTGAGGGTAAATAGGGTCCAGTCTACCTTAGCAAACTGCCACCTAGGAAAAGAGAGGGAAGGGCGAAAAGAGAAAAAGGAAACAAGGATGAGGAAATGATCACTTCCATTTAGGTCATCAAGAACCTGCCACGTGAAATCTAAGTAAAGAGAAGAAGAGCAGAGAGAAAGATCAAGACAAGAAAGGGTGCGAGTCCGAGAGTCCAAATGAGTGGGCTCACCAGAATTCAGAAGAGACAGGGAAGAAGAGAGGAGAAACGGCTCAAGAAGGCGACCCCGGGTATTCGTCAGAACGTCACCCCAAAGAGAATGACGACAATTGAAGTCACCCAGCAGGAGCACAGGCTCCGGCAAGGAGTCTAGGAGGTGTTTCAAATCAGGAAGAGAGAGCGGGACACTCGGGGGGAGATAAATGGAACAAACTGTGTACCATTTCCCCACAAAGATACGAGCAGCAGAACAATGGAGAGGCGAAGGAAAAAGTAAAGGAACAAAGGGAACATCAGCACGAATCAAGAGAGCAGAAGAATTAGAAGCCCCAGCAATGGCTGGGGGGGGGGGGAGAGAAAGGAATAGCCACGAAAACGACCAGGACGAGCACCAAGCATCGGCTCCTGGAGACAGACACAAAGGGGCGAAAACCGCGAAATCAGAAGTTGGAGTTCGAGGAAATTGGCGTAATAACCTCGAACGTTCCATTGAAGAATGGACAACGACGAGAAGAGAAAGGACAAAAACAGAGAACAAGGAAGAAACAAAGGCGAAAGAGCAACAGAGCACGTTAAAGAATATCAGGGTCGGGATCAGGGTCAGCAAAGTCAGGGTTAGGGGGCATGGGTAAACTGAGCAAAGACGGAGGGAAGGAAACGGGAGAACAGATCAGAGGTGGGCGGGCAGGGTCCGGAGGAGGAGGAGGAGGAGGAAGAGGAGGAGACAACGGAGAGGAGCAGTCAAGGACAGCAGCAGGAAGAGGGGGAGTAGAAAGAGGGGAGCGCACCCCAGCAAGAGCAGCAACCGAAAGGGAAGCAGGGGCCAAAGAAACCTCCATAGCAGGAACAGGGGGCGCAAGCACTGAAACGGGAGGGGAAGGAGCAACAGAGTCAGAAGTTGGAGCTGAGGAAGAAAGCGAAGCCTTCTTACCCGCCGGGGAGGAGGAAGGAGAGGAGCCAGGCTTACGCTTCTGACTTAAAGAGACCGGTGTCCCAGCAACTACGTACCGGGCAACGGATTCCAGTGTCTCAACAGGAGAAGCCGAACGAGAGCACACACGACGGCCGTTAGGAGAGCGATGGACATCCGTCTGCACCGACAGGCGGCGGGGAGAGCCGAGAGATGGAGGAAGAGGATGGGAAGGAGGATCGGAGGGGGACGAGGAAGAAGACACAGGAGACACGACAGACCGGGTAGAAAGAAGGGGAACCCCAGACAGAGGACCAGGAGGGGGATCCTTCGGGAGAGAACCCAAAGGAACAGAGGAGGGGGCAGTGGGCGTATCAGGGTCCAAGGCCCGGAAACGGTTGTGAGTCTGAGGAAGGCGGGAAGGACGAGGAGAGGAAGAGCGCAACACGCGAGCATAAGAGATATTAGCATAAGGCGGGAGCCGGCGAACCTGGCGCCTCGCCTCAGGAAAAGATAAACGCTCCCGGTGCTTCAGGTTGAGGACGGCTGCCTCAAGCTTGTAATGGACACACGCACGGGAGAAGGTAGGATGGGCCTCACCGCAGTTGAGGCAACGAGCCTGGGGAGAAGTGCACTCCGACTTAGAGTGACCTTCGCCACCACACAAAGGACAGAGAGAGACAGTCCCGGAGCAGCGGAGGGCACCATGCCCAAACCTCCAGCACTTGTTACAGAGCCGAGGAGAAGGAATGTACTCCTGGACAGAGCACCTGGCACCAGCAAGAATGACAGAGGGTGGAAGGGTCCTACCATCAAAGGTAATCTTCACAACCCGGAGGGGTTGACGGCGACTACCACGAGGGGGACGAGTAAACGTGTCCACCTGGAGAATAGAATGGCCCTGGGCAGCAAGGATATGTCGAATATCGTCGTGGCAGTCGCGCAGGTCCCGAACACCGGTCGCAACATGGGGCGGGAGCAGAATAGTGCCAACACTGGCATTCAACTGAGCGTTCTTCGAGACCCGAACAGTGGTCTCGCCAAGGCAGGATAAGGCAGCCAAGCGGGAAGCAGCATCCTGAGAAGGAGCAGCAACGACACGTGTACCGAGACGAGTGGGGTTGAAAGTAATGGAGGCATCCATGGAATCAACAAGATGTCGATGGAGGGAGAAATCGTCAGGAGGCGCAGAATCAAGAGGGAGGAGATCAAAATATTTGGCCCACGAAGCGGGACCAAACAAGGCTTGATAGGTAGCAGAACTGGAAGGAATCGAGCGAGGGCGGCCGTGACGAGGACGGCGGTGAGAACCCCCAGAGAGAGAGGGGTTAAAAGGCGCAGTAGTTACAACTAGAGAAGGAGCCGCGCCAGGGGACGAGGTAGTCACCACTGGGGGCTTGGGGCTCGACCCAACCACAGAGGAGGGAGGGGAGCCAGGGGAAGGAGTCAGAGAGGCCAAAGGAGGAGCAAGGTCGGGGCCCAATGCAGCGGAGGCTACAGAGCCCGGTCTTCCAATACGGACCGACTCGGGGGCTTGGTCGCCCACCCCACGAGCCTGAGAAGGTAAGCCAGAAGCAGCCGAAACAGGGGTCATCATCATTACGAAAAGAAGAATTCATTCACGAATGTGCCCCCACACCCACCATGGAGCCACAATTAGAGGCAGGACACCCAACAAGAAGCTATCGCCGATCTTGCCGGGGCCTCCTAGGGGTGCGTCGTGAGTATACGCCCCACAAACGCCACCTTAAGAAACCGACAGTCCGTCGAGATCGGGTTCAGTGACGAAAGGGGGATTGACAATAAAAGGTTCCCCTCGCTCTCGACGTCGGGTACTACAGTTCTACGGGTGCAAGAGTATGCCTCCTCAAGCACCCGGGCGTCAAAATAGAAGAAGTCCAAGGGAAGAACCAGAACGAGCAAAAGGTCGGCAGGAAACGGCAAGCAGATAGGAGAAGAGGGGGGAGAAAAACGAAACAGAAGGAAAAGGAAAAGATGCCCAGCAGAATTGGAGAGGACGGCAGCAGGAGCACAAGGCTAGAAAAGGACAGAGGACTGTCCCAAGGAGCATCACACTCCAGCAGCCGCCCACGAAGCCCCCACACGGCGACAACGAGCTGAGCGGGGAGGGGGTGCAGACCCAGAAACACGGGCACCACGAGCCGGAAGAACCGCCGCCCGACGCAGAACAGCAGCAGCCTCAACCACATGTGGAACCGGACCGCAGACAGCAGGCGGCGGCACCGCCACCCCAGCACCCATCACAGATGGAACACAACATGAGGGTGCAAGGCAAGGAGCAGAGGACGAGGAAGAGGAGAGCGCCGAAAACGCACAGAGATCGCCTGGAAGGTCATCGGGAGCAGTGGGGACAGCGACGAGATCAGGAAGCACATCCGATGGCATGGCAACACCAGGTGGAAGGTCAGCAACAACCGAAGGCAGGACAGGCGATGCAAGGGGAGCCGCAGCATCCAACGGGACACTCACCTCCTCACCCCCGAGTCCTCCTCCAGAGGGAGCGGCGGGAAATCCTCTTTGAACATATTCACGAGAACAACCGCATCCTCAGTGCACCCGGCAGCTTGATGGCCCAACAGGCCACAACGAAAACACGTCCGTGGTTGCCGTGCATAGTACACTTGTACGTAGTACCCTAAAAGCCGGACAGAGGAGGGAATGTCCAACCGCAGGCTCATCCCTTGGGTACGAATATTGGTCTTCACCCCCGCATACTGGCCAGAAGACCCCCGTGGTCTTCTGACCACCAGTCCCTGTGGTACAGTGGTAAGACACTCGCCTGGCATTCCGCGAGCGCTTTGTCATGTGTTTGTGTCCTGGCCGGGAAGGATTTACTGGGCGCAAATCCTTAACTGTAGCCTCTGTTTAACTCAACAGTAAAATGTGTACTTGGTTGTAAAAATGATTCTTCGTGGCGGGGATTGTATTCCAGGGATCTGCCCGAAACGCTACGCATACTAGTGGCTGTACAAGAATGTAACAACTCTTGTATATATCTAAAAAAAAAAGACAGCAAGTGCATCCGCACACTGACGACAGTGCCAAACCGTTGGAAGAATCGCCAGAGGAGTGTCTCGGGGAAACTCCATGGGGGCCCCATGGACACTCATATACGTCATAGCACCGCTGCGATCCGATATAGACACAGATCTGGTGTCATTCGGCAGCTGCAAGGTACGTCCCTCGTACTGCTAGAGAAAGTCACGGTACTCTGCTTCTGCCACAAACTTGATAACCACACGGTGAGCAGTTACCAGCTCAACACCGTAGATATCCATAACCGGGATACGGAGCATGTCACACATGACCATCTCCACTACAGGATAACCTGCATGCTCCGTAAACTCCAAACCCACGTAGTTTACCCTCACAACAGGGGGGAAGATGGCCACCCATGTCAAAAACGCCACATCCATTCCAGCCAGGAACAGCATGGAGAGTAGAGACACCCACACCCCCTGCCGGCGAAAACGGCAAACACCCCAAACTACCAGAGAGGCCAGGCGATACGTCGTCACCTCACGGCAGCTAGAGCGCAACTCCTCATACCTAACGCAAGTTAATGCTTCCTGTCCATTTATGTGAGACATAATACGAGACAAAGTTGACAACCTACCGCTTTGGATATGAATATTCAGCGATAATGTTCATGGCTTTAGCAGTAGATCATTAGACAGGTATTCTTTATTCATACTTTTAGTATGAATACTTTTAGTATATTTTAGTATTAAATAAAAGACATGAAAAACGACAAAACTGTACAAATTTTTGTACATAATTTAGTGCTTTTAGTGGACGTGATTTTAGCTTTGTGTGAAATACTGAGCTAGCAACTCTGCTTCTGTGTTGCAGTTGTGGTGGCTGTTGGTCCCAGGCTGTTGGCCTGGGAGTGCAGTCCGGCAGTACTGCACATGGCAGATGTAACCATACAGAAGCATTTTTTCTCACAAAAAAAAAAAAACATCATTGTTTCTAAGCAACAATGTTGACATCCTACTTTCGTTAACAAAATGAAGACTAAGAAGAATGTAAGAATAACGTACGTAAATGACTGATAATGATAGCAGTGAAAATGGCAAATGTTGTGTTTCGACTGCTTCTAGTTCAAATTTTCAAAATGAATCATTATGCAATTCAGAAAGTGATGGTGCGCTGAAGTCTAACTTGTTCAGTTAGATTTCTGTTCAGGTGTTTGGACAGAAGAAATGTGGAAGAAAAAATTAAACCTCTCCATGATTGACTTCAGGGATAAACCCGGGTGTAAAGTATGTGCAAACATAAGCAATATAACACTTCTCACTTCTAAGGGTTTAAGGCTATCAAATGAGTGGCAGATGTAACAAGTAAGTAATTATCAAAAGAAGGCACCAAACCAGGAAGGCTATGTAGCACCATCAAATGTGCAGAATAATCAGAGGGCGCTGAATATCACCAAGGATAAATATACGAGAACAGAAACGCATAAGGCAAACGATATCAAAAGTATCCAATTCACCAAGAATTCTATCGAGGGACAAGTGACCGCAAGGGACGGTCGGAAAACAAGACACACGCTCGTCCATGAAGTCAGGACATTCAACAAGGATATGCACGACCGTAAAAGGGACAATGCAATTTGGACAATAAGGAACAGAGCGGCGCTCTATTAAGTGACCAGGAGTTAAACGGGTATGGCCAATACGTAACCTAGCCAGAGTCGTTTCCCACCACCGGTTACGGTGGCAGGAGGAAGGCCACTGCGACACAAGACTCTTAAGAGTACGCAGTTTGTTACCAATAACAGAAGACCAACAATTCTGCCAGCGGGCAAGGATGGAGGCATGAATAACTGGGTAAATGTCGGAAAAAGGAATACCTTTACAGGAGATAGGACAAGTGCAGCTAGCTTCCTTAGTGGCAGCATCCGCACGCTCATTTAAAGAGACACCAACATGGCTGGAAACCCAGCAAAACTCAACCGACTTAAATTTACCGGAGATAAGAAACAGCCAATGTTGAATCTCGACCACTGGGTGAACCGGATTAAAGGACCATGAGCCATTAAAGCCATGAGGGCACTACCAGAGTCAACTACCACCACAAAGAAGGATTGACACCAGGAAAGCAGGCGACGAAGAGCATAGAGAATAGCATAAAGTTCTGCTGTGAAGATGCTAGCCTCCGGAGGAAGACGACTCATATAAGTGTGGTCGGGAAAAACAACAGAGTAGCCCACACCGTCAGCAGACTTAGACCCATCGGTGAAGATGGGAACAGAATGGGAGTGAGAAGAAAAGTGCTCAAGGTGGAGGCATCACAGAACTGTAGGAGAGGTAAAAGCTTTAGTGATGTGGGTCAGAGAAGTACAAAATTTGGGAAGGGGGACCCTCCACGGGGCAAAGATGGAAAAATACGAGGAGAAACATTGGTAATACGAACCGAAAGAGAATCTTGTTAGCAAGACAAAAATCATGGACAAAAAGAGGAAGGTGGTGAAGAGGAACAGGAACTACAGGAGGGGTTAAGGCAAAGCACAATAGAGGCGAGAGTGAGGGTGCTGTAAGGATCGCGCAAGATAGCGAAGACTGTAGCGATCACGGCGGTCTTGGAGAGATAGGAAGCCAGTGTCAGCGTACAAGCTGAGGGTAGGAGTTGAACGAAAAGCACCAGAGCTGAGGCGCAACCCAGTATGGTGCAAAGGATCAAGACAGCGAAGAGTAGAAGGAGAAGCAGAAGAGTTTGCAGGGCAACCATAATCGAGCTTAGACAGGACGAGAGAGGTATGCAAATAGAGGAGCGTGCGTCTATCCGCTCCCCAAGAAGTATGGGACAAAACCTTAAGTAGGCTAAGGGCCTTAGAACATTCAACACGGAGGTAAGAGACATGGGGCGACCAAGACAAACGAGTGTCAAAGAATAACCCCAAAAGCTTTGTGGAATCTGTGTATTCGAGGGAATGACCATAAAGTGACAACGAGGGACGAAGAACGACCCGCTTCTGAGTAAAAGTCATGGCACATGTCTTAGTAGCAGAGAACTTGAAGCCATGATCGGTGGCCCAAGATGACACGACATCAATCACAAGTTGAAACCGCTGTTGAAGGAGAGGCGAACCGTCACCCTGATAGCAAAGAGTAAGATCGTCAACATAAAGAGCGGAGAAGATGCCAGAAGGAAGGGAGGAAAGAAGACCATTGAGGGCAATCAGAAAAAGAGTAGTGTTCCGAACACTACCTTGGGGTACAACTTCATACTGCCGAGAAGAGGCAGTGAGAGTGGTACCAAGCCTGACTCGAAAAGTACGACGAGAGAGAAAGCTTTGAAGGAAAAGAGGCAGAATACCACGAGGCCAAAAGAACGAAGTTGGGAGAGAATATGGTATCTCCAAGTCATGTCATAAGCCTTTTCCAGGTCAAAAAGGACAGCAACAACGGAGGTCTTCGCAGTAAAAGCAGTACGAATATTGACCTCCAAGTTCACCAGGACATCAGTCGTGCTGCAGCACTTGCGAAAACCAAATTGAGAAGGAGAGAGGTGGTGATGGTGTTCCAAGAACCACATCAGACAGACATTTACCATACACTCAACGAGCTTGCAGACAACTCGTGAGAGCAATTCTAAAGGAACTAAAGGAAGTCTTTAGGGTACATACCGAGAGACCCTGGTTTCCGAATAGGGAGTACAACGGCATCAAGCCAGTCCTCAGGGACGGACGACGACTCCCAGGCCTGGTTATACAGACTCAGTAAATACTGAGACGTGCACAGAGGGAGATGGCGAAGCATCTCAATGAAAGTCATCCAAGCCCGCTGCTGTAGATCCGCAGAGGGCCAGGGCAGACTGAAGTTCAGAAAGAAAGGATTGTTATAGGGAAGATGGAGATGAGTGTGGAAATCTAAATGATAAGATTCAAGAACAGGCTTATGAAGAAGGAAGGATTGAGGAAGATGAGAACCAGAGCTGACAGTAGAAAAGTGGGAACCCAGTTCGGTCACGACCGTCACTGGGTAAACCCACAAGAGTACCACGGAGGTGGACAACCGGCGAGACATCTGGAACGAACTTGCCTGCAATCTTGCAGATCTTCCTCCAGTTCTGCGGCAGAGGAGTATCGAACGTAATGGTGGAAACACAATATTTCCAACTCTCACGTTTAGCTGTACTGATGGTCCTACAGGCCACCGCACTTGCCTTCCGGCACAAAATAAAAGAATTAGCTGTCTGCCGGCGGCAGTGTTCTTTCCAGGCTGCACGCTTACAGCGGACAGCCCGAGCACAGTCTGCATTCCACCAGGGAACGCACTTCCGCGTGCCCCGGGAGGAAGAGCGAAGGACAGCATCCAGGACGGAATCATAAAAAAGAAGGAGGGCACGAGGAAGAGGCACAGAGGAGAGGTCAGAGAGAGTAGCACGGAGGGTGAATAGGCTCCAGTCAGCCTTGGCAAACTGCCACCTAGGGAAGGAGAGGGGAGGGTGGAAAGAGAAAAAGGAAATGAGGATGGGGAAATGATTACTGTTATGGAGGTCATCAAGAACCCGCCACGCGAAACCTAAGTAAAGGGACGACGAGCAGAGAGAAAGATCAAGACAGAAAAGGGGGCGAGTCCAAGATTCCACATGAGTGGGCTCACGAGAATTCAGAAGAGATAGAGAAAAAAACGAGGACGAACGGTTCGAGAAGGCGGCCTCGCGTGTTTGTCAGAACATCACCCCAGAGGGTATGTCGACAGTTGAAATCACCCAAAAGGAGCACCGACTCTGGCAAGGAGTCCAGGAGGTGCTTATGATCAGGAAGGGAAAGCAGGACATTTGGGTGGAGATAAATGGAACAGATTGTATACCGTTTGCCCACAAAAAGATGGTAAGCGGAATATGAATATGGATAGGTGATGGAAGAAGTAGGGGGAAGAAGGGAACATCAGAACGAATTAATTAAGAGAACACTAGAGTTATGGGCCCCAGCAAGAGCTCGGGGGGTTGGGGGGTGGAGAAAGAAAGGTATAACCACGAAAGTGACCAGGTTGAGCACCAAGCATTGGTTTCTGGAGACAAACAAAGTGTTGACAACTGTGTAGTTAGAAGTTGGAGTTCATGGAAGATCGCATAAAATCCACGAATATTCCACTGAAGAATAGGCATTATCAAAGAGAAAGGACAGCAACAGAGAACAATAAAGAAACAAAGGTAAATAAGAACCCAGTTTATTAAAGAATTTCAGGATCAGGGTCAGGAGCAGGAGCAGGGTCAGCAAAATCAGGGTTAGGGGGCAAGGGTAAACTTAGTAAGGATGTAGGGAAGGAAGCGGGAAGACAGACTAAAGGCGGACTGACGTGGCCGGAGAAGGAGACAACTGAGAGGGGCAGAGGAGGGGGGGGGGGGCAGAAATCAGGGAGTGCACCTCAGCAAGGGCAGCAACCGAGAGGGAATCGGGGGTGAAAGAAACTTCCATATCAGGGACAGGAGGTTCGACCACTGAAATGGGAGGGGATGCAGTGATAGCGTCAGAGGGAGGGGGCGAGGAAGAAAGCAATACCTTCTTACCCGCTGGGGAGGAAGAAGGAGAGGAGCCAGGCTTACGTTTCTGACTCGAAGAGACATGTGTTCCAGTAACAACGTACTTGGCAACAGACTCGATGGTCTCAGCAGCAGAAGTGGAACGGGAGCGAACAACACGAAGATTGCTGGAAGGATGATGGACATCAGCCTGGACAGACAGGCGGCGTGGAGGGTCAAGAGACTGGGGGGAGGGTTGGGAAGAAAGAGTGGGGGGAGATGGGCAAGAAAACATAGGAGACATGGTGGACTGGGCAGGAAGGGGGGAAACTCCAGGTGGAAAACCAGGAGTGAGACCTTTCGAGATAAGATGCAAAGGAATAGGGGAGGAGGTGGATGGCGTGTCCGGGTCTAAGGCCTGGAAACAGTTGTCAGACTGAGGAAGGGGGGAAGGACGAGGAGAGGTAGAACGCAACACGCGAGCGTAGGATACGCCAGCGAAAGGGGTGAGACGACGAACTTAGCGTCTCGCTTCAGGAAAAGTCAGACGATCACGGTGTTATAAGTTGAGGACGGCTTCCTCGAGTTTGTAGTGTATACACGAGCGTGAGAAGGTAGGGTGGGCCTCACTGCAATTCAGGCAGCGAGCCTGGGGAGAAGTGCAATCGGACATAGAATGATCATCGGCCCCACACAAGGGGCATAGATACACAGTACTGGTGCACTTGAGGACACCATGCCCAAACTTCCAACACTTATTGCAAAGTCTAGGAGAGGGAATGTACTCCTGAACGGAGCATCTGGCACTGGCAAGAATAATGGAGGGCGGAAGGGCCCTACTATCAAAGGTGATTCTTTCAACTTGAAGGAGCTGATGGCGACTACCATGAGGGGGTCGAGTAAACGTATACACCTGTAGGACAGAATGGCCTTGGGCCTATCCTCCTGCCATGAGGATATATTTAATATCCTCATGGCAGTCTTTGAGGTCCTTAATACCAGTTACAACATGGTGTGGGAGGAAAACAGTGCTAACACTTGCATTTAACCGAGCATTTTTGGAGACCCTAACAGGGGTCTCCCCAATGCAGGACAAAGCGGCTAAGTGAGTAGCTGCATCCTGAGAAGGAGCAGCAACAACACGCGTACCGTAATTGGTGTTGTTAAAAGTAACAGAGGCATCTACTGAATCAACAAGGTATTTGTGGAGGGAGAAATCATCAGGAGGAGTAGAATCCAGATGGTGGAGATCAAAGTATTTAGCCCACGTAGCGGTACCAAACAAGGCGTTGTAAGTATTAGTATGGGAAGGGATCGTGCGAGTGCGGCTGTTGCGGGGATGACGTTGAGAACCCCCAGAGTGAGAGGGGGTAAAAGGCGCAGTAGTCACAATGAGAGACGGAATCGTGCCAGGGGACGAGGTGGTCACCACTGGGGGCTGGGAACTCGACCCTCCCGCAGAGGAGGGAGGGGAGCTGAGGGGAGTAGTCACGAGGGTCAAAGGAGGAGCAAGGTTGGGGCTCAATGCACCGGGGGCTATAGAGCCTGCTCTTCCAACACACTCCGATTCGGGGGCTTGGTCGCCCACCCCACGAGCCCGAGAAGGTACAAGGGAAACATTATCTGCTATAGAAACAAAGAAAGACTTTCATTCACCAATGTGCCCCCACACCCACAATAGAGCCACAATTAGAGGCAGGACACCCAAAAAAGAAGCTATCGCCGATCATGCCGGGGCCCCCCAGGGGTGCGTCGTGAGTATACGCCCCACAAACGCCACCTTAAGAACCGTCAGTCTAATGAGATCGGGTTCAGTGACGAAAGGAGGATTGACAATAAAAGGTTCCCCCTCACTCACGACATTGGGTACTACAGTTCTACGTTACACACAACGGGCGCAAGAGTATGCCTCCTCAAGCACCCGGGAGTCAAAATAGAAGAAGCCCAAAAGAATAACCAAAACAAGCAAAGGTCGGCAGGAAAATACAAGCAGATAGGAGAAGACGGGGGGGGGGGGGGAGAAAAACGAAAACATAAGGAAAAGGAAAAGTGATCTGGCACAATTGGAGAGAATAGCAGCAGGAGCACAAGGCCACAAAAGGACAGAGGACTGTCCCATGGAGCATCACACTCCGGCAGCCGACCACCAAGCCCCCTCACGGTGCCAACGGGCTGGATGGGGAGTGGGCGTGGGTCGGGGAAGGGGCGTGGGTCGGGGGGGGGGCGAAACTAAGTCATTTGGGTGAGGGAGGGTTCGAAAGACGCACCAAGTCATTGTACGTGCGATACCACGTGAGGAACGCTCTAGTCATCTCCACCGCCACCCACCAGCTGGGTGCCTGATGTATGGTAATTGTGTGAGTGTGCAAGGACAGCTGTATAAATGAGTAAGTAATTATGTGTGTATTTCTGGTGATTTATTAGTCTCTAAGCCTGAATTCAAAGTCAGGTGTTCCGTCACATTGTCACTAAGAGCACCTGCAGTGGTGAAGTGAAGTGTGGAGGTGAGGTAATCACCCTTGTCGACATCCTGTCAGTCCAGAGAGACTTACATCTTGTGTAGACAGACGTACATGTGTGTGTGTGTGTGGTACACATGGGAACAAGTTTACATTAGAATATTTATATTCCATTCTGGTAGAATTGTGGTAATTCAATCATTGTTGATCGTCCGTGGGACGGAGTGATATTATTCTGTGATATAATTTTGCAGGTGTGGAGTTCCAGTACTGAGCGCTCAGGTAAGTGTCAGTGTGTGACGTCAGGGATTCCTGGCAATTGATTATTGTGGAGTAATAAAAGATTGTGATGTTAATTTCTTGTTTTGTTCCCAGGGCCGTGACAAGTGTGATATATATATATATATATATATATATATATATATATATATATATATATATATATATATATATATATATATATATATGTGTCTGACGTGTTAACGTAATTTAGGTAGAATTGTGGTGAGTAACGAGGCTGTCAGGAGTGACAGCCGTCGCTCTGTCGAGTAACATAATTCTCGGGAGTGTTTATCGATCCGTGGGATCGATAAATCACTCACCCAAGTGATTTAAGGAGTTGTGTTCTCCTTAGTGTTCTCATTAACGTTTGACAGCTTTAGACTTCATGTGTCAGCAGTAATTATATATATGGTCATAGTGTCACGGAGCCCAGTGTTATTGTGTGTTATTTACTGTGGTGATTGCAATGTGTGGACCTGTGTTGTAAGGAATTATTTAGAGCACGATTGGGTCATTTGCAACAGTAAGTGTTGTGCAGTGTTCCAATATTGGAAATTAGAGTACTTGCCATATGTGTTATTGCAAAGGGGTTGTCATTGATGGTGATTGTTGCTAGTCATGATCAATCACAGTTTGTGATTGCAGTTCAGTAAATTATTGTGGGGCCGTGTTCTTTAGGGTTCATGCTCTGAGGGTTATTTACTAGTGTTCTGCAGTACTGTCATTGTAACCGGATTGTAACGTAAATAACTGATTTGTTAGTGTGATTTATCATTGTCGTGGGTGAACTCTGTCGAGAAAAGTACTTAGGTACACATATTTTGTTCTGTTATCTGGTAGGACATCGAAGTCCAGTATTCAGTGAGGTGATTGCGAGGCAATTAATATAACGTAACCAAGGGAACGCCCATTGCTTTAAGAGAATTTGCTCTTTAACAATTTGAGTAACGTAGAATACGTTTGGGTTAATATACTTTCCTGCAAGCAGCTAAGGTAGTCTCAGGGTAGCCTAGCTATCAGCCAGACAAGAAATTAGAGTATTGTCTGTCGTAATTAACGGTGAGTGGGCCGGGTAATTGACGTGTTTCAGAAAGTCAAAGTAATTAAGCTCCATCCGCGTTTGATCGACTCGCACGAAGGCTCCATTGTTCCATTAACGTAACGTCGTTATTTATCTGTCCGGAAGTACCGGCCCTTGATTGGCTCATGGGAAGAGTAACGCCTTTTTAGAATAACGTAAACATGGTGATTAGTGTCCTTAATCACCTGAATTGGTCTGAGTATGGAAGGCTCAGACGGAATTCATACCTTAATGTAAATTGCTGAGCCAGTGTGAAAGATTGCGTATTTAATTGATTAATTATTGATCTTGAGGATAGTAATTAATTGCTCTGAAGGTAATCACGAGAGATTACCGTTCTCTTAGCACTTTGGACATTGTAAAATCAGAGTTTACCATCACTGAGTGATTAGTAACCGATTAACGTAAATTAACGTAACTAGTAAAGAGATTAATCAACTGTCTGGAAGTACAGGGATTAATGGGATTTACTCACTGAATGCTCGACGGGTTGCGTGTTGTGTAATTTCCGCGTTACTAGTGACAGTTGTAAGAGTTATTAAGTTAACATAAATGTTACCTTGTTATTAACGTAAATCAAATTGTTATTGATTGTTGATCGTCCGTGGGACGAAGTGTTAACGTAAAGATTAATTTGAGGAAGGGTTGCTGGAGTTGCCAGTGAACCCATTAGTCATTGCTATGTCATTGACAGCCTACCGATTTGATAGCATTGCAACCGCTAGTGCAGGTGTAGACTGCACAGAGGCGTAGTACAATTAGAAGGTTACTGGAGACGTGTCTCAGAACCCATTGTGTCAGAGTTGCAGGTGTGATTATAGATCTCTTGCTTGCTTGATTAATTCCTCTGTGTTCACGACTTATGTTCGAGTTAGTTCATTAAGCAGTCCGAGGGGCTGGTGTCTAGCTGTCATTGATAGTGTCACAGGAAGGATTTCGAGTAACGTCATTGATATTTCTTTTTTTTATTGTAGTAGTTAGTACTTTATTGAATAAACTGAGTTGTTATCTTGAACACTGTCCTTTTGTTACACCCCCCACATTATTATTGCCCCTGCAAGTGATTCTTCACACTCGACTATTAAACCGAGACTGATTCTTGAGTTTTGGACTAAATATACGGCACTACACAACAATAAATTATTGTTGTGGGAGCCCATGACCTACTCGTACTCGCTAGATTCGCTTCGGCGAATGGCGAAGGTCGACGGCCAAGTAGAGGGGTTTTCAACCATTTCGAGTCTCGGTGCCTAGTCAATTTTTCTTAAATAGTCCCAGACTGAGGAATGAGCAGCTTACTACAATGGTGTGTTAACTAAGCAAGTCCTTCCTCAGGTGACCTAATTGAATATTACGACAAGAATAAAGGTTAACCCTTAAACTGCGCGTGGCGTATATATACACCATGAGTAACATGTTCCACGGTGCGCATGGCGTACATATACGCCATAGGGTGCCAGGCCCGATTCAAATGGCCCGCGGCTACACGGGGTTCACATTAGCTTCCTCAGGGCTTTTGTAAACAGACGTCATTTTTTTTAAAAATCGTGGGCAATATTTTAAGGTGTGAGAAGCACAGTACTGTTGGAGCAACCAAAGCTGGCGCACACAGCATGAGCGAACAGCATTGCTGTTCAGCTTGTGACTACAGCATCGCCGAAAAATGTCAAAATAAATATGTAATTGCTATTATTTAGCTATGACAATATTACAGATGACCCCTGACTGTGATATAAGTAACCAGGCTTATGATAATAGCAGGATTGTTGAAATAATTAGCGCTGTGGGACAAGTGATGCTGAGAGACGGAGGGAGATTGCATCGTTTACTGACTGTGTGGCCACCTGTTATTGTCTGCATTCACCATACCAGCTCAGTGGTTCTCTATGGTGAACACAAATGTAGATACTTATATATAATGTGTGTATTAGTGTAATAACAGCAAAAGGATTATGCTGGGAGGAGCCATTTGGGTGACGGAGGTGACGTCGTCTGCACGATTTGTCTAGCTGTTTAGAGGGTAGCCACTATGCTCTTTGGGCACTCTACAAGCTTAGGTGTACAGTTACGGTGCATACAACATGTAAATACTTATATATAATATGTGTATATAGGGTAATAACACTGTAAACAGTATTGTTGGGGGAGAAAGTTTAGTGCGTGTGGCCTTGAATGAGTGAGGGACCCGCCAGCTGACTGTGAGTATAGCGACGATTCTTAGTGCCTGAACTAACTATATCAGCTTATCTGTACAGTTGTGGTGAACAAAATATATACATACTTATATATAACGTCTGTATATAGTGTAATAACATCACAAATGGTATTGTTGGGGGAGAAAGTTTAGTGTGTGTGATCTTGAATGAGTGAGGGAGCTGCCAGCTGACTGTGTGTGTGTAGCAACGACTCTTAGTGCCTGAACTAACTATATCAGCTTAGTTGTACAGTTGTGGTGAACAAAACATGTTGATTCTTATATATAACGTCTGTATATTGTGAATAAAACATAAAACAGGATGGTGGGAGGAGAAAGTGGGCGAGTGAGGCGTTGTTGAGGGAGTGGCAGAGAGTGGCGGTCACTCCTCGTTGCTTTTCGACTCTCAATACCAACTTAGTGGTTCGTTATGGTGAACAAAACATGCAGATACTTATATATAACCTGTGTATAGAGTGTAATAGCAGCAAAACTATTTGTTTATTGTTTTATGAACATAATTGAATCACTAATATGCACACCATACTTTTGAGTATAGCGATTATTCACCACTTTTATTATATAAATATATTACAATACACACTATTGAATAATATTACTGCAAAAAACTAAGAAAAAATCAATCAGAGACATAGAAATAATTAAGTGATAATATTTTTGTGGCAACTCCCACCTGTCCGCACGGGTGACGCTGACCATGACGACCCTCTGTCAACGCCCACTTTTTGACAGACTTCCTCAGTCAATTGCGCCCAAAATATGTCACCTACGATTTTATTATTTATTTTTCCCGTGCTCAGGGAACACACATTAACATTTTAAGAAGAAGAAATAATTTTTTAGAATTTTTTTTTTCTTGCGCACAGGGGTGTAAATGTCCTTAGGACCCCTGAGCAGAGGAAGGGTTAAAAGAATTGAAGAGAATTTTTAGAAATTTCCGAGCTCAATTCTTCATTACCATTCATATTCCGCTTTCAAACTCTCATAGAGGACGATTAAGACAGTAAAGGGGGTGAGTCCGATAGTCTAAATGAGTGGGATCACCAGAATTCAGAAGAGACAGGGAAGAAGAGAAGATGAACGGCTCGAGACGGTGACCCCGGGTGTTTGTCAGAACATCATCGAAGAGGGTATGTCGATAATTGAAATCACTTAGCATGAGCACAGGCTCCGGCAAGGAGTCCAGTAGGTGTTTAAGATCGGGAAGAGAGAGTGGGACTTTTGGGTGGAGGTAAATGGAACTAACCGTGTACCATTTACGCACAAAGACACATGCAGCAGAACACTGGAGAGGCGATGGAAAAAGTAGGGGGACAAAGGGATCAGCAGAACGAATCAAGAGAGCAGAAGAGGAGAGAAAGGAATCTGCCATTCCAAAAATCTCCCGAATCAAAAAAGAAGGAGAGGAACGGGCCCCAGCAAAAGCCGAGGGGATGGGGTAAGAGGAAGGAATAGCCACAGAAGCAACCAGGACGAGCACCAACCATCGACTCCTGGAGACAGACACAAAAGGGCAAAAGCTGCGAAATCAGAAGTTGGAGTTCATGGAAATTGGAGTAATATCCGTGAATATTTCGTTGAAGAAAAGACATTGACAATAAGAGAAAGGACAGCAATAGAGGACAATGAAGAAACAAAGGGGGAAAAAGGACACAACACGTTAATGAAGTGCAGGATCAGGATCAGCGAAGTCAGGGTTAGGGG